GCGCATGCGCAATATCTCCCGAGAGAAATCATATTTTGCAAAGATTATACATTTAAAATGAAGAGGAGTTATCCCATCATAGATTTATATAATAAGATTTTATCTGTACATATCATTTAAGAAATAGTAGGAAGACCTTGCATGTACGGTCCCGGCTGCGTATACCAGCCCATATACAATCTGGCTAGGTTAGTGTGTTAGCGCATGCGCAATATCTCACCAGAGGAGTTATATTTTGTGATGAATATGCATTTAAAATGGTTAGGGGGTATCTCAGCATAGATTTTCCTAATAAACATTTATCAGTACACCTGTGTTTAAAATTAGGAGAGCGCCCTAGCACGTAGGGTACAAAACACCTACTTTATATGCCCTCACATCCTTCCTCTTGCCTCCCCTGTCCCTCGCTCAGCCTCCTTCTTCTTCTACCGCCCCAGCTATCTTCCCTGCCGCCTTTTCTCAGTCGCCTATCCCCTCTCTCCCTGAGCAAGTTATCTTATAATGCTTGCCTCAGACGGCACTGCACGCATAACACGGTGCGAGCGCATACGCAATATCTCCCGAGAGAAATCGTATTTTGCAAAGATTACGCAGTTGAAATGAAGCGGAGTTATCCCAGCATAGATTTATATGATAACAGTCTATCACTAAACATCATTTAAGAAATGGGAGGAAGACCTTGCATGTAAGGTCCCGGCTGCGTATACCAGCCAGTACACAACATGGCTACGTTAGTATGTTAGCGCATGCGCAATATCTCACCAGAAGAGTTATATTTTGTGATGAATATGCATTTAAAATGGTTAGGGGGTATCTCAGCACAGATTTCCCTAATAAACTTTTATCAGTAGACCTGTGTTTATTATTAGGAGAGCGCCCTAGCTGTAGGGTACAAAACATCTACTTTACGCCATCGCGTCCTTCCCCTCAGCCTCCTTCTTCTTCTACCGACCCCAGCTATCTTCCCTGCCGGCTTTCCTCAGTCTCCCATCCCCTCTCTCTCTGAGCAATCTATATTATAATGTTTGCCTCAGACGGCACTGCATGCCTAACACGGTGCGAGTGCATGCGCAATATCTCCCGAGAGAAATCGTATTTTGCAAAGATTATGCAGTTAAAATAAAGAGGAGTTATCCCAGCATAGATTT